ACCATATCGGTGTACGCGTGGGAACTATGACGTTTGCGATGAAAATACAGCTTTGTTCAAACGTTGGTGTTGTTGTGTTTCTAATCAAAGCAAGCAACTAATAGACACAAAGGGTAAGTCTCAGCTTTAATAAAGGCCTATCCAGTTGAGATAAAATGGAGTGTAATAGTGCGTAAATAAAAAGACTATCATGAAGTAGATAAGTGGTATTTCAGTGACAGGTAAATTGAAAGATTTGCAAGTTTAGAATTCGTAAGACAACCTGACATGTAAGATCTCTCACGAATTTCTATGGGGTAGCATTGATGTTTCGGCGTCATTCTGAACTTTGGAAAGACGATTTACAAATGTAAAAGGTAATAACCACCGAAACTGCGGTAATATTTTCTAGCTGTTCGGAATTTTTTTCCTTTGATGCAGTTTCTTATCAACAGTTTGTAGTATTCATATTGAGTTTATAGGAAACTTTATTCTATCTTCATTTTCACCAACTGTCCCTCCACGCACAATAGTGTGCAGTAACTACACACACTCAAGCATTGTAACCTGAACATCACAAAATCCCTACAGATAACTTGTTTAATAATAAATGCTTTGAAAATATGAGTCATAAGTGCATCTTCCATATCCTTCATAGCTACAAGTAATTCATTAAGGATCTCAGTGATCTGAAAATGAATAATTATTAAGACTGATAAACTTAAGGAACAGGTGTAGTAGTTGTAGGACACAGCTGCTAGCTACTATTCGACAGAAAGCTGATACTAATTCTAAGCAGTCTGACATTTTAGAAGGACCATCTACACTATTCTTCTTGCACAAATGCACACTGATATCAACATAATCTGATGCCATGTTATGCACTGAGCAATTACGGTCTCCCGAAATTCTATGTGACAATGTAAATTATGATAGTATCACATCTTCGCCTGAGCGATTTTAACAAGGAACTTCATCAAAATGAATATAATCACCAGGAAATTCAGCAGCTTATCTCATTTATCGCATGGTCTCTTTGATGTGTTATGGAATGTTTCAATCATCAAGGATGATAATAAGTGTTTGACATCCTCAAAATATACATCTATCTTATGTCTGTGGGCTATTTCACTTTCAAATGCCCGATTCTCATAGAATAACTGCTGTGACAACAACCATTGCCTGTAGTCAATTTACAACCTTTAGATCTAAAACAACTCGCAAATAAAAATAGCTTTGAAACGCAAATAATTGTCTTTCTGCGCGAAATTTATTATATAGGATGACTTGTTTTGGTAACAATTCGTCTGGGATATCTAGCCAATTTTACCCATTAAAATGCAAACAATACAGGAAAGTATTGCTTTTTTCGGCTAGAGAAAGCTAAAACTAGTCAAATATAATCTATTTTCACAATATTGAGCGATTATAACGTCTCTGTAGCCGTGAACGCGATAACCCATTCAGTGCGCGAAAACATATCATGATAACGTATGCCTTCCCCACAGTACCTACCCACGGGAAATCGAAATTCCAATTGACCGCCACTGTTCTAGCCAGTGAAAGACGAGAAATCCAGGAGGGAGTTAAATTTAAAACGCGGTAGGGTTTACTCTCACCCAACTACCATAAATGAGAAGGTTGGAAGACTTGAGAATAGGCTCCCGGACAGACAATATCTTTAGCCGGTTTGAATTGCATGATGTGTCACACAGTGACATTCCTCCATCCAACATCAGTACTCATCCTTTGGTTGGAAGATCTGATGCAACGACATCATTTTAATTTAGGCTTACAACATGACCACCAACTTACTACAACTGCTTGCCACTCTGAATTAGTATCGACCTCCTGCACAAGTAGTCTGGCTGGTGCAGCAATGCATATTTACTGCCGGAGAGTCGTTTTTATCGTACAGATAATTCACACCCTCAGCAAGAACCTTTTATTTCATTTTCCTGTGACAGTCAATCTTCCTTCGGGTCCGATTTAAGTAACATGTAGATGTTATTGACTCTCTCTACAGTTCTTATTTTCCCGGCACTTCCATAGACATGGAAACTACATTACTGTCTCAAAACAATGTAATTGCATCTCATTTTAAGCTGCTTCAAAACACTACAAAACTCTAGCAACATGATTCAGCTAATCTTGGAGTACTTTTTAATAACACTAGGTCCTCTGAAAACTGACATACATACAATCACCACTATTGTTAATCCAACCTGCAGAGTTGGTGACTATTGAAGATTAGTGAATATATGAACTAAGTGATGACTTCTTTCACTGCAAAGGTAATTCATTATTCAGAAGGAACAGACTAGTTGGGCATGATGGGGGATACATTATCTACGTAAAATCCAACTGTAAGACTGTACATTACGAAAACACAAACCTGAATATGTATGATACATCAACGGTGGCACTAAACGTCTTTTGTAGGTTGTGCCTATCTCCAACCCAACCAAATCAGTGAACTTCCGCATGTAGTAATCACAGTTTTTCACTACACTTCACAATTAAAGTTCACTTACGAAATTATTGGAAGTGATTTTGGGAATCGATACAGTAGGTTCTCGGATGAAACACAGTAATGTGGTTGGATACAAACTATAGAGTGCACACAAGATAATGTTTTGGACCTAATATTTCCGAAAGACACCTCCCTGACTAGTGCGCATATCAGTTACCCATCCCAGACACCGAACGCAGTACCATTTAAGGAGATAAAGGGATTTCGATGTTTGCTTAAAGTTTTTGTCCCCCGATTCTTATAGTATTTTTTCTGCGTAGACCAAAGACAAATCAAAACATCATATTGACTATCCAAAATACGAAGCCTATCTCGGGACCAGAAACCATTACAGTAATGTAATACATGGAGTGACATTCGTTTGTGCATGTGATCAGTGACGTCAGCTTACCTTTTGTGAGTATATTTTTATTATTACCAAAAGCGGAAACTCACAAGATATTCTGGTACAGTTTGCGTAGCCATTACTAATAGAGTGACCTCTCACTAACACTCCCATACCCAGACAGATTCCTTATGTATTTCTCCAATTGCATTGGTGTTCTAATGCCCAGATGAGTTTTGCTGAGCAAGAGGTCGATGGCTTTTGGATCCAACTGACTTTAATAACTTTTTTGTCAATATAACAGCAGAACACGGTAATATTTGGCAGCGGAATAGTTTATTGACAGATAGATGTACAGATATGGCAAAATAGATATGCTTTACACTAAAACCACCATTTGCTTGTGTTCTCCATGTTAGGCTTCTTTTGCCTTCCTTCCCTGTTTCTACGTTGTTTCACAAGGACATTTAATCTATCCCTCCGCTACTGAGTATTCCTACAAAAGACAAAATACATACCACTTACAAAATCTTGTCAGTAGCACCAGCCACAATATCACACCACTGAGGTGGGAATTAAAAGATACTACTGATATACTGCTTCACTAAGCTCCATTCCTCCTATTTATGCATTAAAATTCCTCCACTATCTAGATTTTATTCAAAACCAATAATTTATGGGCAACTCCTGTGGTGATTGACAGTTTCTATTACTGTATTGTTAAGATACTTACTGTTGTTTGTTAATATTTATTATATGAATTACAAATAATTCCGCCAAATACAAATTCCCGAATTCACGCTTCTCTGTGTTGTTGGTTTCCTGTAATTCGGTCATTGCGAAATACTACTATTACAAATAATTATAACAACTTCTTCACATGATCAACTGCTTTAGTTGTTGAATATAGATCAGAACCAAAAATAGACATCAATTATTGCCACGTTGTTTACTATTCACATAGGACCTGTTTAACAAAATGCTTAAAAACAAGCAATTAAATCACTATAAGACAAAGTCTACCACATACTTATTTAATAAAACACCTTGTTTTTCATAATTCACCTATTCGAAGTCATATCACTTTAATGATTCTTTTAATAATACAACAAGATTGGTCGTACAACCTTGACCAAGTGATGCGGCTCTCCACATGTACTCGCTTGTAAAAGCTGTTTGTCTCTGTTTAGGCAATAAATCAACTTATACTGCGAATTGTCAGTTCATGAGTGACTAACTTGAGGTTGTCCACATGTAGGAGAGCTCTATCAATGTTGAATACATCACAAACATTACTAACATAGTCTACAAATACAGGAAGACGAAGAACGCTACTCCGTATAGCCTCATTTGTGACCTGTCAATGAATAGATGACACAGTCTTAAGTATTTGTATGCAATCCCTCAGGTAAGGAGGCAATTGGGAACATATCGAGTATAAATTCTGAAAGAGTACACGGTGATATTATATTAAATACGTTTTGCATTTCGAGGTATATAACACTGACTAATATGATTGCCTTGAGATTACTGGTGTTGTGCTTGAAGCAGTTGTGACAGATGACGTGGGCCCATTCTAGAGAAAAATCAATATTGTGACTTTGTAACGGGCCCTTCCATAACTGCGGACACTAGGTGCATTACTTAATTTATAGCGTAAGATCAAGAAGCTATTTCTCTAATCAATAGCTTATGTACCAGAATTAACCGATAGAGAGAATAACTCAAAGAGGAATATTATGTCTGTAGTTTCTGAAAGTCATCGAAGTGAGTTCATGTGGCTGCTTACCCTTATACAGTCTAGGGCTTTTAACTGCTGCACTGCTATTCACCCGGTCTTTTCGGCGTGGCAGTTTTGCACACCTTACCTATATTCAATGTCATGTTCATTACTTATCTTTAACATACATATCGACATGTTCTAACTTAATAGTTTATGCATTCTGCCTCAGACTACTACAACTGATTGACACCGACATGAAACACGATAATTCAAGCAGAATATGTTGTACACAAATAGTTGTAATTGTTGGTGTTAACGAATATTAAGATAAAATAAAGAAAATTTCAGCAGCAATATCTGTTTTTCATCAGTATTCGTAGAAGCGGTCAAATGTAGTCAAGTGAAGTGGATAACAGAAGGATCTACAAAGAAATCCTTCTGCACAGCATAGTTCTTTGTCAGTGGAGTATGCGAGCCCAATGATCAGTAGTTATTGCTACTGGTCAGGGACTTCAATCCTTTTAACAAAATCACCTACTGTGAACATAGACTAGGTCAGAAAGTTATAACATAGCATAAAGATCAAACAGTAAAATTAAGGCCAATGCGACATTTGTTCCCCAATATTGATATGACTACACAAAAATGAGTACTCCGTATTTATTTATTCTACCGCTTTTTAATTTTAATTTACTAGCATATTTCAGTGTTTTCACTCTGTCCGTCACTTAGAGTTGTATTTTGTTACCTGCAATAACCCTTAGTTCGCTCTATGTTCCAAGCAAGTTTGTATGTTGTACTGGGGTACAAGAAACAAAAGACTTGTTGAAGATAATAGGATGAATTAAGAATTTAACAACAAAATTACAGGAAAAAATGAAGCTATTTCATATGAACACAATCATAGCTACAAATGCATTGGATAAATTATAAACTATACAGAATTTGATACAGGAACATATTCTGAGAATGTGAGTCAAGAGATACCTATTTATATTTTTTCAGCGTGAAGAGTACAAAATGGCTCTTAAAACTATAAAATTGAAGTAAGTAATTCAGAAAAATGAATGCAAAGTGAAACATTTTAAAGCTGCATCTTAGGTAGATGGATCTTTTGTACATGACTTCGTATAAATGGTCGCCAACCTCTAGTCATTTGATTATTGAGGCTAAGATAGCATTTGCACTCATACCAATCAAGAAAAGAATTGGCTTCATTAGCGCCAACAAGATTAGCACCATGAACAGCCATTACACATCCAGTCAGCTATTGTAAGAGAAAAGCGATTAAAAAACAATATATGTACTAAAACATATATCAACCTGTCATTGAATAATCCGGAATAGTGAAGGCATTGAAGATATGTATACGAAAAAATAAATGGAAATAATTTGAAACGATGAATATTTGGAAGAATTACTCACCCACTGACTACGAGGGGGACTGGAATTATATAGTTAAAGGCGATCGACAAGAAATTCAGTCATTATTCGACGCAGTCAGTAATGTTGCAAAAAGTCACTCGGACCACACCTATTGTATGAAGATTGTTAATACAACATGGATGCTTATACTAACAAAGCACTTTTCCATTCCCACTTGGAATGGGGTCTGTCTATCAAGTCCTCCCTTAGTTTTTTTTAGGATGATGTGCTCCATAACAAATCGAATCAAATACAAATGTTATGCAGTAACCCTTCATTTGAGCATAAATCTCTTGTATGTCCTAGTAATGAGCAAAATCCTATTTAGAACAGAAAGTTATGATAAGTTAGTGAGGATAAGTAAAGTAGTGAGTAACAAATTTTATCCTCACTAAAACGTGTATCATACGGTTTACCATCACTGTTACATACTGCCAAAAAGACATTCGTATGATCAAACGGTTTGCGAAAATAACGTTTTATGATAGATTAAAAATCTCTCAACTTTCACCATTCACAGCAGATACTGATACCCTAACCAATCAATTAAAATAATTGTATCTAATTACAACAAAGACTGATTTTTTATTAAAAAGAACAAAAGCTAACTTACTTCAAATGAGTAGGTATAATTATGCAATGTATAATACAGTAGCACTCTTAAAACACTCATATTCTCTGCAGAACGATGTCCCAAACCAAATATCAAAGAACGAACAAACCGACAGGAACAATAGTAGGCAGATGTTAAGATGATTTCTCCAATTAACCTTGGTATGAAGCCCTAATTTTTAAGAAAACAAATACATAAGATATCCGTTGCTCGGTCACAATTAAGCAGCACGAATCACTTTTCATTATGAGGTAACTGAATTGTTTATTTTATTCTAAAAGTTTGAACTGGAATAGTTTACAAACAAAAACATTACTGGGAACAGTTCAAATAGTTTCAAAAATTTACTTCCATTACAGTGACAGAAGCCTGTACCAAACAGAGTTGCTAATAATGTACATTGGAACTTCAGGCATTTTTAGATAGAATCAGTCAGATGACGTAAAATTATTGCAGAACACTTTAATAGTGTACAAACAATGACCATAGATTTTGTTTTACGCACTTCAACATCAAGTACTCCAGTTTAGATAAGGGGGCTAAATTGGTTCGCTGTACCTTCCTAGATTACAAATCTGCTTTCGATGTAGTAGCTAGGGATATTTTGTTAAACAAGCTTGCTGGAACTCAGACTGACTGTTGGGTTGTCAAACGGCTGGATTCTTATTTCTCAGGAAGAATGCAGTACACTGTATGTCAGGAGAAGTCGTCCACTTCGTTGCTTACTGAGACTGGTGTCCCTCAAGGTGCTGTCCTTTCTCCTTTCCTGTTTTCTTTCTTCTTGCATGACTTGCCTCACTCTGATGAAATGAGCTTTGTTAAGTATGTGGACAATCTAACTATTTCAATGTCTGTTAACTCCCAGATAGACTGTACTAAGATGAACAGCTTTCTATCAGGAATCAGCAAATGGTCTACGTCTAATAGGCTTAAACTAAATCCTTCCAAACGACAGACTTAATTTCAGTTTCCGAGGTAAAAGAAAGTTAAATGAAGCTGTTGGTTCCTATGACCGTTGCAAAATTGATGACAGTGATATAGAAATCAAGTTTGACGTTAAGTATTTGGGATTAACTCTTTCTTCTAACTTACCCTGGTCTTCCCATGTTTTGGTGATTTCTAAAATGATGTTTCGTCTGACTTTTTACATTAAGAAGTTAGGGCACTTAAGCATAACTCAACCCCTCCTCTTACGGTTTATCAACTCGCATATCTTACCTATTCTTTTGTACTATTCACCCTTATTCTTTCCTGCGTTGCTAAAAAAGGCCATGTCATACTTCGTAAAACTCTGAAACCTGTCAGTAGGGCGAGTGGCATCCCATTGGACCATATCGTTGATATTATCATTAATAGACACCTGATTTCATACAAAAAATTTGCTAAAGGAATTTTATCAGACTGTGAGCAGCCACTTCACCCACAGCTTTCACCTTGTGTCTTCTCAGGTAAAACAAAAAGTCATTTGAAGAGACGTCGAAGTATAAAATTCCACTTTACCATATTTGGCACGTATATTATGTGGTGAAAGTAGTGTCAGGGATGAACTAACTAACCTTCTTTGCACTACTAAATAAACAATTTTCTCCATCCTTATTCCATCGAGCTTTATTGTTATTGTTCTTATATTTATAATCTCATTTTTTTGTTTATTGTCTCATAAGTGTAAACCTCATCTAAGCTGTGTAATAACTGTTATTTTTTGTCTTTCCCCTCAATATGCTACATCAACAGAACATTAGATTCAGTAATTTATAACATGCTAAAATTTCTAGACTGAATCGACAATACTGTTTGAAATAAACCTATTATAGTTGCCGTTATTATTGGACTTATTAATTTCTTTTTTTACTCCGAATTATTATTATTATAATGTCCTTTAATTCCTAGAGGAACATAGGGCTTCAGCCGCGCGTCTCCATTACGTTCGATTCTCTGCTAAAGTTTTCACTTGGCTCAAGGTCTGCCCACATGCTTTCACCTCCTCTTCACATGACCTCCTCCAAGTCACCCTTACATTGACGACCAACTCGCTGCTTCTCTTTCGGGTTCCACTCGAGGGCTTGTCTAGTGATGTCATTTGATGGTTTCCTCGGAGTATGGCCAATCCAACTCCATTCCTCCCTGCTTATTTCTTGTACAATCTGTTCCTGGTTGGTTCGCTCATTGCCAGAGATCCCTGTTGCTGATCTTGATTATTGAGCGAAGATCAATACATCTCGTGAGCGATTTGATCAATACATGACTTGTTCCCCCTGAAACCAGCTTGTTCCGGTCGGAGTTTTTCATCCAGGGCTTGTTTGATTCTCTCCAGGATGATGCGGCTTAGTATTTTGCTTGGGATAGACAGAAGCATAATTCTGCGACAGTTTTTGGATTGACTTAAGTCTCCTTTCTTTGGTAGTTTGAATAAGTAACCTTTCCTCCAATCTTCGGGTACGTCGCCCTCATTCCATACCTTCTCCAGTAATGGTGTCATCAAGTCCGCTGTTGTTTCTGGGTCCATTTTCAACGCTTCTGTTGAGATTCCATCTGGTCCTGATGCTTTTCCAGCTTTTAGCATCTTGATTGCCTTCAGGACTTTTGATTTCGTCGGGGGGTCGATGTTCACTGGTAGTTCTGCTTCCGTTGTTGGTATTGTTGGGCGCGTTGTAGGTGGCGGTCGATTTAGAAGTCTTTCGAAGTGTACAGCCATGTTTTCTTTGCTCCACTTCTTTGGTGATTGACTTCCCTTTGTCATCCTCCAGTGGCTTAATTTGTGTCAAACTTTTGCCCGATAGGTACCTAGTTATTTGGTACAGTGTTGAGAGGTCTCCTTTGCCTGCAGCTTGTTCTGCTTCACTTGCCATGGCTTCAAAATATTTTTTGGCTTTATATCGTAAATGTGGACAAATTCCTCTGGTTAATATCTTATCTATATTTTGAGTAAATCAGATGCACAACTGTGACAAATGCTGAGAATTCCACTCTGTATTATAAGTATTGCTTTTGGAATAAAGTACATTATTATTATTGCTTAGAAACTGAATTTCAATGAATCCAATTCAGCTGCTGAAGAGCAATATTTGTTTATGAAATTAAACGGAAAAAGGACAACGAATTGAGCAGGATAACATGATATCATTTTATTTCCCTAGATCTTGTTAAACACATACAACCTAAAACAATTCTAATATCAATATACAAAATATTCACACACATTAGTTACAAAACATAAAGGTGAAGGCCATTATTTTTACGTAGTTAAACGACATTGTAGGACAATCACATATTCAAACATAACAAACAAGTACCTACTGATCAGATGAAAGGCTACCTTGTCAAACTACCGAAGAAGGGTGACTAAGGTCTCTACAAGAACTGGGGCGGAAACATGCTTCTGTCCATGGCAAGTAAAATATTAATTTGCGTCATCATGGAGAGACTGAGGGATGCTTGGGATACCAAAACCCCATCTCATTAAAGTCATTTCTAACAGGCTTCCGAAGATTTCCATTAACATCTGCCTTTGCTACAATCTGAAGATCAGATGGGCTCAAACGATAACCAAGAGGGAACTCTGGGAACGAACCGAGAACTTATTGACCAATAATAATAATGGAGAAAATGGAGACGGATCGGACACATTGAGGAGACCGTCGAATGATATCTTGTGCCAGGTCATAGAGTGTAACCCAAATGGGAAACAAAGAGCTGGATGTCCGAGAGTGATGTGGCGATCGTGTGAGGAGGAGATGAAAGCCTATGGGCAATCGTGGGACCAGCTAAGGAGGACTTCAGAGAACAGGATGAAATGGAGATGTGCTGTAGAAGCCACTCAAAACCCAAAGGAACAATAACAAATAGTTGACATGGTGGAAAGGATAGATGTTATTAAGCTCATTAGTATATACAAAAGTAATCACAAAAATATTCTAGGGTGAGGAGCAGAGGTTGTAAACTGTACCATTCGTGCCCACGACTAACCTTCAGTAGGACTGCATTGGATAATTTGGTTGGACATTAGTTAGTAACTAGTATTAGACGTCTAATCCTTTGTTTGTGCTTCTATGTGACAATGTAAATTATGATAGTATCACATCTTCGCCTGAGCGATTTTAACAAGGAACTTCATCAAAATGAATATAATCACCAGGAAATTCAGCAGCTTATCTCATTTATCGCATGGTCTCTTTGATGTGTTATGGAATGTTTCAATCATCAAGGATGATAATAAGTGTTTAACATCCTCAAAACGTACATCTGTCTTATATATCTTGAGCGCAGAACCAGGTTGGTCATTGTTCAATCTCATATTTACGTAACAACCATGATTTCAGGTGAATTGGTTATTTTTACTACTTTAAGGTGAACCTATATTTTGGCATTTCTGGCTACCACACGGATCGTTTTCTTAGAAGTCTGGAGGGACTATCAGAAATGTTGCATTCACTGCTACTGACGGTAAGAAATACAATTCTGTTAATAAAATAACTGTAATGTTACAAAGAACTATGTGAATACAGGGAAATAGGCTTAACGCCTTTGTGATAAGTTCCTGTAATGTACTCGTCGCCAAATTATTGTATGTACTGGTCGAGAATTTAATAGTCCTGACGCAAGAAGGCGGAAATCAGAAGACCACTAGGTTTGCGATGATACTTCTATTTTCCAAACACAAGGAGAAGCAATAAGTGGTATCACACCAAAAATAAGTAGTCACACAAGATTGTGTGAGCAAAATATATATGAATGTCCAGACAAGTGTGTGAACAAATCAATGGACAGTCTTAACATGAATGGCTAATTATAATGAAGTATCGATCCATATATACATAGCAAAATATAGCAGACATGTCAACAACCACACATATAATATGGATATCTGTCACCAAGCAACGGACTGTCAACAAACACTCATATTATATATAATATAAGGGGAATATACATTGATAAAGGAGACAGGTTCATCAAAGTGAAATGGTCACAGACTAAGCGAGCAACAGAAAGAGAGATCACCACACACACACACACACATATATATATATTATATATGGATGCATACCACCTCCCCTTTTGAGAAGATTGATGATTAGTAGGATGTTTTCCTGGGGGTTTATCTGGAACCTTTGGGCTTGTTGTTGACGTCTATCGTTTCGTCTGCCTGTTGGGTTTGCGGCTTCGGCTTCGTC